CACAGGACATTCATATACCAAACAGCCTGCTGGATCCTGCAACACAAGTGAAAAGGAAGCATATTGGTACGCTTAGCTAACGCTGCTGCCAAGATCAAATTATACGTCTTCTCCCTCATCCATCTGTGAAAGTAAAGAACTATCAACCACTAACGCATTACAAAAAGCACACCAGCATTAACAGACTAGCTTCATTCATTTTGCATGAATTTATGGTTTGTTACTCTCATTCATGGATTGGCCCAATGTGAGCAGATATTAGAATTAACTGATAAGCATAATGGAGCCTGCTTGAAAATACTGTCATCTCTCTTTAGAAGCTGACAGCTGAACTGTTAAGCTAAGAGGTCAGAGTTGATTGGCTTGAGCAGCAGCTGTATATGGCCTTGGGAAACACGCCAAAAGCTTTTCCAGCTCAGAACTGTGAGAAGCTAATCTGTGGGTAAACCCTATGCACAAGGGGCAAGCAAGCTCAGCTGTGCAGGTGAAGAATGATGTAGTAGCCTCCACAATGGAATCCAAAAGTGTCAGCAGCTATCAGTCTTGATCCCTCCTAGCTCACCACACTAGTAAAATATAGATAATTATTGTGCAAGGTTCTTGAAATGCGACAGAGTCTATTTCCTTTGGGACACTTCCAAATGCAGTTGTATAAATAGAATCATGCTGGACTTGCTGTGTAGCAAGGAACTCGTTTCTGCTTAACACTTTCCTGGGTTGGTCCAGAGAAAGATTATATGCATACACAGGACTGCTCTGTTGATATTGCTTCTTCCTGCTTCCTGCTTCTTCCCTTCTTTCCATATCATCTGCCAAACACACATGCACAAACATACACACAAACACACAGAAACTATCTAGTGTGATTTTTTTCCATGAAGATCTGGATTTTGAGTGAAAAATTTGTGAACTAAAAAAAATTCAATGTGAAAGAGTTGTGTGCAATACTCTTAGAGATACAGCACATGGGACTTACCAGGGATTTTCCGTTCTCATCTCCATCTCTCATTGCATCACAGTTTCCTGTCCTGGAGCTGTGAGGTGTCGCATCATGACAGCACTGGTTCTGCAGCACATGGTAAAGAACCTGTCTGATCTGGAAGCAGTCTGTAAAGAGGAAAGGGTTCACAAGGCATGTAATCTGCAGTATCCATGACATAACTCAAAACTATAGTCAAATGGCCACATTTGGTTTCGAAGTGTGATATCTGCCTATGACAACTTTTAATTTTCCTTGAAAAAAATACTCTTTTTGCAAAAAACATAGTAAATGTTTCTCACTAAAGCCATCTTTTTGGTAAAAAAAAATGATGACTCCCTTTGAACATTTTTCTAATACTTGCCTGAAGTTTCAAATGTGGATGGCTAAAATGTGTTTCCTATGTCCATACCTAGGCACTCAAACTAGTGGTTTGGTTTTTTTGCAGAAGCACAGTGGATATCTGTGTCTCTAGTTTGTGCTGAGTGAAGAGCTGAGCACTTAGCAATTTTGAATCATCAGGCCTAGAGCCAAGCTTTTGAAATCTGAATGTCTAAAATTAGGTCGCTAAGGTATGATCCAAAGCCTAATAAATTGAATGGAAAGAGCTTCAAGGAACTGCTGGTTCTGGGTGAGGCTAATTATCTAAATTTAGATACCAGAAAAAAAATGCCTTTTCAGGTCAGTTCAATGTTCTGGGCAATCACAGTTTTGCTTGTATTCAGCTGTTCCAGTTCCAGTACTATACAGAGCACTTATTCTAACAAAGTGAATGGGAAAGGAGAGGAAAGCTACGTCACCTGCTCAACCTTCTCTGAGCAGAATGATACTGCTATCTGGTCAGGTGCACACCACGTGTAAAACACACAGCAGGCCAAATGCTCAACATTTATAAGTGTGTATATTCTGGAATGTATGTGTTCATATACCTGTATCAACTTTCCTAAGTTTGTAAACTTATGTGTGTGTGTGTGTGTGTTTCTGCACATATTTGTATATATAAAACAAAAATACTTCCATACATAGAAGAGAGTTTGCATAATAACTACTTCTCATAAAGCAGCACTCACAAAGTGATAAGGTCAGTAAGATGGGAAAGAAATCTGGAGCTTAAAACATCTACTTTTTTTTAAAAAAATGCATGACAACATTTTAACTCAGAGCCTTTAAGATAAGACAGAAGAACCTTCTCCTTGGGATAATCTGTGTTGCTGTGGTGCCCTTTCATCTGCAAAGACCAGTAGATCAGTGAGAAAGGTGAGAAGAAGTTTAGTTCTCTTTAGCTAGAGAAGGAGCAGATCTGCCACAGCAGCTGCTCTAGGTGACTCCAATAGGCAGCACTAGGTAGCAGGAGATGGTAAGATGAATTTCCTGGAAACCTGTGGGATGCCCCAGCTCTGGGCAGGCTGCAATACCCAAACAACCAGGTCTGCAGCCAGCAGGGCTGCTAGAGGAGTTGACTCAGCTACTTATTCCTAAGTTTAATAATATTTTTGTCTCAAGTAATTCCACCAAAAAACTAAAGACAAATCAGTGCTAGCCTAGAAGTTCCCTTCTGCTCCATCTCCTACACTGCGAAGGGCTGGCACAAGCTGGTAATACAAGTCGTCAAGTCGCAGAGAGCTACCTTCCCTCCATGGCCTCTTTGGCAAGGAGGATGCTGACAGAGAGAGTTGAAATTCACTTATACCAAGGACCTACATCCATGGCCTCCAAGCTGGGAAAACCGGCCTGTATGTGTGTGCTCGGCTGCTGCTCTTTGCTGCCAGTGTGTGCTCCTACCTCAGCGCCTCTGGCATTCATGCTGAAAATTCACTTGCCTTTTTTCTGTCTAAGGCAACTTACATTGTTTGAACTAAAAGCAAAAGTACCTCAGTTCTGGATAGACCTAACTTTTCTTACTCAAAATCTGCTAAAAAATCTATTGATGCTTGAGAAAAGAATGACTTACTTACTTACTTAGGCTAGTTTTCTCATTTAAAACAACTTGTTTGGGTACTCAAGCTTAGCAATATTATGATAAAGTTAGATATCTGCCTATTCTCAGAGAGACAGATGGTCTTGGATGCTCCAGACTCTCACTGACAGTTTCTCGTTGTACCCCAAAATTGCTAGGATCACCTTGAAACAGCTCTAGACTGTCCGCACCACTGGTGTTTTAGACAGTGCAGTCGTCACCTCTCTCCTTTTCATCAGTACCCTGTGGAGAGCCCAAATGTGTTGATTTGCTTGTTAAGTCGTCTCTCTGGAGATCGGCCATACGGTCTGTAGACCTCAGAAAAGCCCCATCCCTCCCCTCCGGGGCACAGCGAGCACCAGGAGAGGCAGAGTGGGTGCATGGCAGATAGAGAGGTCGCCAGGGGAGGCTGTGATGCACCCACAAGTCTGAAATGATATTTTTAAGCCACAGTGAAGATCTAATAATATTGGATGAAGACACAGTGTTCAGCTGGATTAGAGAGTCGCAGCATGTGAAAGATGAGAAACTTTCATACTGAATTATCAAGTATTCACCATATTTAAAAATAGATTTTGCATGTCCTTCTCCAGTCTCTGCCACATGCTTCAGTGAAGCCCTATGCACACAAACTGATTGTGTAAATTAATGAAATTATAGCAGCACCTGGTGCAAGGTGGATCACAGGGAAGGCTGTTGGCAAACATTCATTTAAATGTCTCACTTTTCTCTGAGCAAATTTGTCATCCCTGGCAATGTTACTGCAAGGTTTGATCAGTCATAGCCAAGAGTAAACAAAAGTCAATTTTTATCAAGCCTTGCTGTACAGTCAGGTTTTCCTGCCTGGGAGAATTTATTAGTGGTAACTGTCCATTTAGCTTTGAAAAAAAGCATTGAAAAAGGGAACAGGGGTGATCACAAACAAGGTTGGAAAATAAAAACAGGGCAGAGGATAATTTACCAACAACCCCGAAGCCACACATACATTCAAATAAAGGTGCTACCACAACATTTGCTTTCTGTCCTGAAGGCACAGTCCTGTGCCCAGGCTGCTACCAGCCCACATACAACCCCAAGGATTGCCTTGAGTAGCACACATGCAAATGTGGGTGAGGGCTTTCCCTTTCCAGGGGGCGTTCCTTGCGGGGACCTGGAGGGGAAGGAGACCTGCATTAGCAGTGAGGATACGCACATTCTCTGAGCCCATGAAGCTCACATACGAGCAGATCCTAGGAGTAGCCTAATTGCCGAGTCCCCAGGCATGGGCACCGCAGTGTGTTGTGCTCCTTGCGCTGGCTGAAGGCTTCCCTAGCAGGTGATGGCTCTGCAGCGTTAAGCCGGACACGCGCCTGCCTGGAAGCTCAGCAGGCCCCGCTGGGACAGCTCTGCTGCACATCAGTCCTCATGTGGATGCTGTTGGCCCACGGCCCCTGACAGACCTCGGCAGGCCGTGGTGCCTGCAGCTGCCCCAGGCCGCGGCTCCCCGGTACCGCTCCAAGCTTAGGTCTACTAAAAACATGTTGGGAACCCCAGTCCAAAATCCAGCTTCAGAAAAAGGCAGTTATGTGGCAATTCCAGCTGTGAGACGGAGCTACTCTGTGACAACGACGTTCATAACACTAGCAGTGTAATTAACTCATGCCATAAAGGTTACAGGAACAGCTGGAATCTGCTCATTCTTGTGCATATATATTAATAAGCCTGCAGCATTTCCACTCTTATGCTGCAATTTTGTTCTGTTTTTAAGTACAAATAAAAGTGCAATACAAATATAAATGCCAGACTTTTATGACCCAACCTACAGCAGTCATCACCAGGTCTTTCAGTGAGCAGTAATGGGGCTGGAGGGAGGCTAAGAAACACTACAAAGCTGGGTTTCACATGTTCTTTTTTATTTAAGTGAAAGAAGAGCAAGTGAAAATAAAGGTTTCACATTTCTTTCTGCTAAGCAGGTTTGTGCTTTTTATGCTGGTTAATAATGACATTTCCAATGCATATTACAGTTTTATACTCTTGAAAATATAACACGGATGCCAAACAAATAGACATTGTGGACAGAGGGGTTACAACCTTCCAACAACTGCTGGAGGAGACAACTACATGTAACAGAGCCTAACGATCTTGCATTTTACACTTTACAGCTGGATCACTGCAGAATAAAATAATTACACCATCATAGACCCATTACAAACATCAGCACAGGCAACAGAAATTCAAGAGTAAAAAAAAATCATGTCATCCTCAATTGCCTGAGAGCTACTCAGAAGTGTGCTGAGGATGTTACTTATGTCTGCAGAGACATACTTAAATCGGCTCCGAGAGTTTCTGATTGTCTTTCATTCCAGATAAGACTTCACAAAGAGCCACATGAGTAACACCGTAAGCAGGACAATCATGAAGTTCAGGAAGAGTTCCCGTGTGGATCGCTCCATTTGGGGGGATAACCAGAGCAGAGCAGAGGGCAGCAGGTGAAGCAACGGGAAAACTTCAGTGACTTCTCTGGGAGTGTCCTTGAGCTCAGCCTTCAGGTCACAAGCTCTTTGAAGGAAAAATAAAAATATGTGAAGAACTGATAAATGAAGTGGATATGTTCAGCACGGCTATTTTTATGGGTATAAATAAATGTTTTTGTTGCTAAAACTTAGTAGGCACTGTGGATAGCAAAAGCTAGCTCCAGCAGCTTATCACCTTCTTTGATTTCCACCCCCTGACAAGTAGCGTTCTCAGTGTCACCCCAAAATACATCTCGCAGGGTGAGCAGGCCTTGGAAATTATCTCTGCTTTGCACGAGCTTTTTAAAATACAGAATGCCCAGATCCCACTGATTGCTTTGAACTGATACACATTGCGTAGGTATTGCTACTCCTAGTTCCTAAAACTCCCATATTTGTTTGTGCATTCTTATTTTTGAAGTAGGTGGAAACCGATCACTGTTCAACAATTTATACAATTTTTATCCCACTTTCCCATCTTTTCTTAAGTATTTTTTGCTATTTACAAAATACTACAGTTTAAAAGATTTCAAATTTCAGCCTCTCTTATAAAGCTTAGGAGAGAAAACAGTGAACTGATGATACAGCCCAAAATCTAGGAGAGTTAGTTAAGTTACTGCTAGGAGACCCTAAGGTGCAACATATTCATTTCTGAAAAGCTTCACAAATGTCATGAGTTAATCCTCCAAATTAAATAGACTTTTCTCAAATATCTTCTGGCTTTCTTGCAATTTCGAGCAACATAGCTCAATTACTTCATGAATCCCATTCAAGTTAAATTCACAGAGTTTTCTGTTGGCTATGGTGACTGATTATTTTATTACAAGTTTAGATTTTTGAATATTCTTTGGATTCAGGCAGAGGATACTTTATCAAGAATAACACACCACTAATCCCATCTGAACACTGTATAAATAAAATTAAAATCTTTAAATAGATGAAGAAAAAGTTCTAGACAAACACAGAGTTTCAATCACACAAACTAAATCTTAAAGGAGATGTTAGATTAGTATGTAACGTCTATGGTGAAAACAGAGAAGCTTTGGGACTGTACCAGATTGAAGACAGAGTTTAAATAGAAACTGCTTTAGTCTGCAGATTAAATATTAAAAGGCTGGTACTTACACTTAACAAAATTCCTCCATTCCCATGCTGTTTTGTCAGCTTCCTATTTCCATGGGCAAGAGTAAATCTGACCTAATAAGTAAGACAAATTTTTTTTACCTTAAGAAGGTAAACAGAGCACGGTGGTCCTGCCTCCAGGACTGCGGGGCAATGCAGATATTATTTCCTTCTCAGCCTCTGGCTCTGTCCCACACGATCTGGATGCCTCGTCCCGGTGTGGGAACTAAAGTAGTCTGAGGGAGGAGAGCAACAAGTGTGTTGGCACCCGAGATGCTGACATCACACCCCAAATATTTTAAAAGGCCGAATGTGGACTGCAGGATTCAGCTAAGGCTCTTTATGCACAGGGGACCAAGGGCTTATTTATTTACTGTAGTTTTATTTCTTCTTACTGTGTGCTGTACTAAGGGCAGGGTTATGTACAACCCTTGGGAGTCATTGGGGTTTAATAGGGAATTTCCTTTGGCCAGTTTGTGTTTCCATGCTCTAATTTAACTTCTTGTTAATGTGGGCCAAAGAAAAGAAAAGGAAAGGGACAACCAAAGAAAAGGAAAGAAGGGCCACACGACGCAGCACATGCAGCTCCCGGGATCCCTGAAGACAGGTCCCCGCGGCCGAGGCCGTGGCTGTCGCGCTAGTGCTGCGAGAGCTGCACAGCTGTTGCTGTCCTGCAGCCTTCCTGCAGCCTCCGCAGCTTCTCATGTTCAGAGACATTTCAAAAACAGGAGCAAAAACCTTTTTTTTTTTTTTTTTTTCATTTATACACAGATTAATGCAACACAGGAAGATTCACAAGAAAGAGAAATTTGGGGCTAGGGGTTTTAGAAACCACAGTCCATTGCCTTAAAGAGCCACTAACTAACCTCCCTTCTCCTTCATTTATTTTCAGTGTTCTGAGTATTAATGCTCCAAATGCCTGAGCAGATAAATATTTCTGCCACCCTGCAGCATTTCTTCCCAGAAAGCACACGGCTCTGAGGCCCAGATAACTATAATCCCTACATAATCTTATCTTTGTCCAAGGCACTGCTGAAACTCATTATGCACATGAACTAAAGGAATTCACAGGGTGTTTTTTTTTTTCCCCTTTAAATAAATACTTCTGAAAGAGGACGTCAGCAGAGCAGGCTAGACCGAAGCAGGACCAGATGCTGCCAGCCCTGTGCTGCAGACACTCAGCTCGCACGTCATCCTCTTGGTTGGGGGCTCATAGCCTGCACTTCAAAGGAACAAGTATTTATTTCCACTGAAGTTAGAGTAGCCACTTCTGGAACATGGCACACGAACACGAGGATCCTGATGAGGTTTAAGTGCATAAAGGTCCCCACAGAACTGGCCCTTATTCTCACAGGCAAATACTACCTGATATATAATATGCAAATTATTTATTGAGTCTGATGCCTTTTGTATATTCACATTCAGGTGAACTGTGCTGTAGTATGGTTCGCAATACCCAAGCTTGCTGCCCAAGTCCATCTCCACGAGGTTCCCAGGATCAGCCTTCCCTTTGCACCAGCATGGAAACCCCTGTAACCATGCCATGCAAGCGAGCCGGGCTGACTGGAAACCAACCCCATGGAAAACAAAACAAGAAACAGCTGGATGGGTTCCCAAGGGGGTGGAGGGAAGGGGTGTCTGGGTTTTGCTGGATGATCTCCATAAATAGCCTCCCCACACAGTCATTAGATGTAGGAGGGGACCACTAATCTTCACTTTCATTGGCTTAAGAACTTCCTTGCAGACGAGCTCTTAGATGCGCAAGCAGCAAGTTCACAAAAGCCAACAGGCTGATGAGGAGTCCTCTCCCGAAGAGTACAGAGGAAAGGGCCAAGGGTTGACCTCCAGCTCATCCAGGGATTTAGACGCCTAAGCAGGTTGCAGGGTCCTGCAGCCACGCAGACTTTGACAAGCTGAGGTACCACATCCCCTTCTCATACGGAGACCTGGGGTTTGGAGAAACCTGCATTCAACCACCTGCCCTCATCCTGAGGGCAGCTGGGTGTGTATCTAACTGTGACCTGCACTATGCCCTTCCCTGTCACATGCTCTGGAGCAGAAATCTCTTGATTTTTAAGGCGACGTCTATTTCATTTCACCTTGAATCATATAAATAGCCATCGGAATAAAGGTAAAACATTTGAGCATCACGATCTTAATTAAATGTTGCACATGAGTGCCTAAAAGTTCCCCTTAGGCTATGAAGTTTGGAGATTTGGAGTTTTTTTTAATTTCTGCCAACAGAAAAGGAAACAAAACAAAATAAAACACAACAAAGATACAGACTGGCAGACAAACAGAAAGGTTTTTCTTTAGCTGCAACACCTCAGCCCTGGCCACCAGGCAGGTATTTGTTTTTCCACCTTGACAGCCCTTCCTGTGCTCTTTCAGCACACGTCTGCCTTCCTGGACCTCACCCATGACACCTAGAAAACTTCCCTTCTTCAAAGTGCTCCTGAAATAGCACAATAAATGTCATCAACCAAGGCATGTAATAAACACCCGAACTCCTGCGTATCCTTCCTTTGCCTCTGCAGGCTCAGACCTTTCTGTGATTAGTGGCACTGAGGATGTTACAGGAGACCACACGAGAGTATGTAAGATCCTAAGCCCACCACATCAAAGGTCCATCTAACCTAAGTTATTGGCTGGTAGAGAAATTTGGAGAAAGCAGATAGAAGTAGAGCAAATATAACATGATCCTTCCCTGCATATCCTCAAACTTCTAGGATTCAGCCTATTGGAACACATAGTTTGGGACTAGACGAGGTTGGTCTTATGCCTCCTTCATTGCACAAGCTGTCGAGTTGCTCCTTCAAATTAAATATAAAGGTCTATTTCTGCAGCTCTAATAGCTCATACTGCAAAGAGTTCTACACCAGGGGAACTGCCCACAGATGGGCTCCTCTGCACAGCACTCTACGTATTTTTAGTGCTGAAAAAATAAAATGGCAAATTCAAATATTCTACATAGCAGAGAACGTCTTAACTTTCCTTGATTGAGAAATCGGAAGGCAGTTCTTTTGCTAGAACGGAGATCCAGCTAGCTCAGAAACACTTTCTGGTTGAGAGAACTAGTCCACAGTAACTTTAGAAGAGCCAGACTACTATGTTACAGTTATTTGTAATGCCACCTGACAAGATGTTCCCATATATATACATGAAGTCTTGGGAAAAAAAGACATTACACTAAACAGCAGCTAGGAATATAGCTGTGGAAAGTGTCTAGACTTTACCTGGAAATCCAATCCATGTTTGACTTCCATATATTAGAGACTGCAATTGACAGAGGCTGCAACTTCTAGACATCCCAACAAAGTGTACCCTGGCTGTTTACAAACAAAGTCCAAACACTGTAAAAGCAAGGTCTTTAAAAGGACGATTTATTTAACCAAGTGATTTAATAGTGGTTTAGCAAAGATAGAAGAAGAGAAAGAAGAGGATAAGCCGAACCGTTTTACTTTAAATGATAGCCTAAAGGCTTAGATACTGTGCTCAATATTTTTCTTGATGGCATTCAATTTTTCTTTCTTTTTTGACAGATCTGGATGTTCTCAGCTTTCACCTGCCCTGTGCCAAATCTCCCTCTCCATGCCTCACATACTCAAACTTAAGGCTCTAGTCTATATTTAAAGTTGCTCTGACTACTCAAGTTCTTCCTAGCCTACTAATCAAGCAGTGTGCAATCTTTCAAAGCTCTTCTTACATAATCAGAGCAGATTACCTACATTCTTCCTTTCCTCACCAGCTTTCTCATCAAGTACATATTTTTTTTAATTCATTAATAATTGGCTCATTTTTAAATTGGCACCTATTCTCTGCCATAATGATGAATATTCTCAGAAGATCCACTTACAACACTGATGTATTATTTTGTAGGAAACAATCAAGCTT